TCGTATCTTCAGGGGCCTAGTTTTGGGTAACCTGGACTGGATGCTCTGGCCTGGTGAATGGTGGGCCTGGCATGGAGGGAACTGTTCTCTGGGAGAGCTGTGCCCTCTTGTCCCCCCACCACCACCACCTGTGTCCTCCCCTGGGAGGCCTGGACACGTCCCCTGCTTCAGGAGTCTGTGCAGTTAAGAATCAGGGACTCGGGTCTATGGAGCGTGGCCAATGGGGCCCTGGGCAGGTGTGATGCCAGAGGCTGGGGGTGGGACCATGCCAGGAACCCCTGTCAGCAGCCACCCTGGGCCTCAAATCCAGGAAGCAAAAGGGGTACAGCCTACATGGCAGCATCATGAACTCCCTCGTCCTGCAGAAATGTGAGTTCTTGTCCAGCTTGCACCCTAGCCAGCCCTCAGCCTCAGCTTCCCCTGGTGTCCGTGTGGTGACGGGGCCTGCTTGGCCATCAGAGGCTTGACTGATCAAGCACAGCGGGGGAAGAACGTAGCCAACCTACTTACCCAAATGCTCCACACCCTCATTCTGCCACCCCCACCTGGCAGGGACACGTGGACATTCGCCTCATCTTCCCGGGGTGTCAGAGCGGGGACAGCCCTGGGGACATCAAGTCAAGGAGTGAGCAGAAAAGCAGCAGATGAGGAGAACAGGAGCCCGTCTCCACAGACTGCCAGAGCCTCGTCCTGCAGGCACAGGAAAGGCAGATGGCAGGGTGGCTGGGAGGGGCCGGGGGCTGCCCTGACACACCCACAGGGACCACAGCCCCCCCCACTCAGTGACCCCAGGGCTGTGTGTGGTCTCAGCAGGATAATACCTAATCCACGCCTCCATTGTAGGTCCTGTCCCCACACCCCTGGGGCTGCATCCCTGCTTCCTCCCTAGCCCTAGCTGGGCCCAGAGAGGAACTGTCCCTGTCTGTTGGGGTCTCTGTGTCAGATACCGCAGACTGGGTACTTTGTAAACAGAGATCTCTTTCTCCCAGTTTGGGAGCTGGGAAGTCCTAAGTCAAGAGACCAACAATGAACAGACTGAGGCAGCAGTGCAGAAAGCAACCCCATTTACAACAGCCACAACAAAAACAAGACCCCTGGGAATAAACCTAGCCAAAGATGTCAAAGACATCAACAAGGAAGACTGAAAAACTAAAAAGAAAAAAATTGAAAATGATGCATATTTTTTAAGAATTATTTTATTTAACTTTATTTATTTATATATTTAAATTTTACCAGAGAAAAAGTGAGAGAGAGGGAAACCCCCAGGTCTGGGACTCAAACTGATCAGCCATGCATGTGGGAGTCCAGTGCCCTTAACCCGCAGGCCACCTGCTGGCCCCAGAAATGATACATAAAAGTGGATAATACTGGATCGCTGAGGGTCTTCCTGTTGGACCCTCATGTGGTGGGAGGTGACAGAGCAAGCTTGAGGGGTGGAGGCTTCAGAACATCCATGGCAAATGTGTATCACAAAAACTTACACGTGGGCTTCAAAAATTTTTTCCACCAAAATAAGCTCATACTTTAAATCCCTCCTTCCACAAACTGCATGAAGCCCCTTTCATAACAGCTTCAATGCCCCTTGTGAGGAAGGTCCTGCCTCTTCACGCCAGCGCAGTCCACCCCTGAGTGTGGGAGGACACATTCCAACCTGAGCGGGAACATGGGAACATTCCCCCCTTCGTAAGCTGAGCGGTGGGCTTTGTTCTCTACTCTCCTTTCTGAAAAGTTTTTTATGAGCTGAGGAAAAAGAATAACGTCATCCTCATTGTCATCCAAAATGAAGGTCTTCACAGAGGTGAGGGCGAGAACTGGCGTCACAATGACGGTGCTGCCCGGTGGCCACAGCTAAAGAGCCCTTGGTAGAGAAAAGGGCCCGACATGATGGCCGCTCGGAGCCCATGTCTCCACACGTTTCATTTCCCTCCACACTCATGGACAAACGCTGCCGGCCATGGGCAAGAAATAGCAAAATGTCACAAGAAACAGAACTGCCATGGTTCTGACCCCTCATGCCAAGTCAACGGGACAGCAGGGCCAGGCAGCTTTGAAGAGCTAGGCCCGAGGCCATGCTCAGCTCCCCCTGCTGACCCTGGGTGTGACAGTGACTAAGAGCTAGGCCTAAGGCCATGCTCAGCTCCCCATGCTGACCCTGGGTGTGACAGTGAGGTTTGGGTGGCCCCAAGCCAGATGACGGGAGTTGTGGGCAATCTGGAAATGAGTAGCCCAGAATGTGTGGACGTGGCAGGTTCCTCCACCTAGGTGTTCAGCTAGACTGCCGGACTCAGCAGAGAAAGCCCCCTGCACAGGCTGCCCACGGGGCCAGATGGGGACCAAAGGGAGCTACACCAACAGCAGTTGTGTGGCCACTGCACTTGTGGCCAGAGCAGAGGCGGTGGGAGACGCGGTCTGCAGGGCTGCACAGCAATCCCGTCTGAGGCAGGGAAACACTGCAAGAATATGCCTAGTGGGTCCCCCGGACTCTGAGCACCTGGGGGAGGATGCAAGGGCAGGGTGGGACCACAGAGAGCCTCTTCGCCTGTCCTCCCCGGAACACGGCTGATGGCCGAGGTGAGAGAGGTACAGCTGGAGTGGCTGCTTGACCTCACTCAGGTGGCCGGGCTGCTCCTCACAGCAGGTCCCACCTCCCCCACTGGGCTGGTTCCTCCAGAAATCAACCTTGAGACAAAAACTCAGGTGTAGGGACCAGCAGTTAGCATAATGGCTATGTCGCTGAACTCCCATGTAGTTGACCGCAGTTCAAGTCCTGGATCCGGTGGCTTAAACTCACGCTGGGCATGTGCGCGTGCGTGCCCAAGATTCCGAGAGGAGAATGGAGGAAAAGGGATTGCAGTATGGCCATCTCCCCCGGGGGGAGATTTCTCACTTTCTGTCTCTCTGTCTCTCTGGCGAGTGCATAAACCCTTAGCAAAAACCTCTCAAAAAACAAAACAAAACAAAACAAAAAGAACCTCAGGTGTTGGCATCTTATTTCAAGGTAATCTCAGACTTCCAGGGGTGTGGGAAGTGGAGACAGGGCAGACAGAGCAGTATGTGATGGCGAGCAATTAGCAGTGTGGGCAACTGGGGTTCCACCTCGCTGGGCACCGCTCGGGGACTGGGTAGGACACACCGCAGTGCTTCCTCCCTGGACTCAGCCAGGGTGTGTGCCCAGCCCCTCCCAGCCTCCCTTCCCTGCACTTTCCTGCCCCTGGCTGGCAGCGGAAGCCCTCAGGAAGGAGGCTCAAGGGACTGCAGTTGGCCCTGCCAGGGAGGCGCCCTGAGGAGGGCCACTGCGCAGGGGGCCCCAACACCATCACTGTCTCCCCTGCAACTAAGTTATAGCTGACCGCCTGCACACCAGGGCTGCAGTCTCCATATTGGGGTTTCAGGAAGTGCCCCTTTCTGGTCACATTAGCCCTTCCTTTACCTCAGCACACCCCTCCATGCATGCACATGCATGCACACACACACAAGCATACATTCACACACGTGCACATGTATGTACACACCACACACCGGCACACTACATATATGCACATATGTGCACATCTCATACACGGGCACCCATTCACACATGTGCACATTACATACATGCACACACCACACACCGGCACACGTGCATCACACACACACACACACACACATTGAGGTGGCAAGGCTCCAGGAGGGCCTCCAGTGGTCCTCATGTCCTTGATGAGTCCCCTCCCACACTGAACCAGAGCTAATCTGGGTAACCAATAACACAAGGAAAAGACCACAGTGTATGACATTCGAAGCTAAGTCACAAAACACATGCAACTTCCACAGTGTTCTCTCGGAACACTACACCAAGCTCACCTGCAGCCTGTGGAGAGGCCCACGTGTCAACAGCCACCACCGCCCTGTGGTCATGTGAGTGAACTACCCAGTAAGTGGGTCCCCCAGAGTCAACCAAACCTGCAGATAATGTCAGCACAGCAATGCTAGGTGTCCCCACATGGGAGGCGACACCCAGCACGTCCCAGTGAAGTCACCTGCAGACTCCTGACTTACAGACACCATGGGTACATAAATAAGTCACTCACAGCATTAAGTGGCTGGGTGATGTGCCTCACGGCATTAGAGAACTGGTACATCAGCTGTGCACACACCCACCCGCGCACACACGTGCACACTAACGCAGCCTGCTCTCCATGCTCCATTACTCTTGGGTCTTTTCTGCCTCTATTTGAAACCAACACACAGGGTCAGGTGGCAGGATAGCAGTAATGCAGCCGGGCCACACGGGAAGGCTGTGGGTTCACATCCTGGGACCTCCCTATGAGTACCAGGCACGTGCATGTGGACTGGCTAGTTGAGACTGGAATGGATCATGCATGAGGACCTTGCCGGTCTCTCTATCTCTGTCTATCTCTCTGTCTCTTGAGAAATAAGCTTAAAAAATAACAATACAAATCTTCAAGTGACCCAACTCCTTTTCTGGTTTGACTTTGGATTTAAATCTAACCACTTCTAAGCCAGTGGGCTGTGTCTTTCCTGGAGTCCTGAGAAGGGAGATTTCTGTGGAAATCCATGAAGAGATACCCTCAAGGTAGTCAGGCCCGCAGAACCCCACAGAAAGTGTCCACCGTGCTCGAAGCAGTGGGCGGCGGGGTCCACTGACCAGCTGACCAGGAAGAGC